AATAAATAACTATCCATCCATCTTCATACTAATCAAACAGTTGTCTGTGTTGTGCCACTTATGGTACCATAAAATGTGCTTTCATTGTTACTAGGCTACCATTGCCATATTTATTATAATAATTTGAGGTTATGACTTTACTGCTTGTAGACTTGCTGATAAAAAAACATTTCTGACTCCCCTCTTATATAAAACAGCCCCACGTTCCTCCAGTAGGAAGAGCAAATGGCCAGTCAAGTTGGATGACTTGTTGAAATCTTAACTGGTAACTGTACTCTAATCATACAATTCCCTGTCTAGTACATGTTTGCTCACTTGCGAGGCTAGTGAGCAAGCACTAGCCATGCAAGTGAGCTTTGTTAGCATGGCTAACAACATGAAGGGTTTTTTTTCTGGTATGGGAAAAAGACCAAAGTGAATGACAGCTGAATTGATGGTTAAGTTTCAGGGTCAGTGATTGGGTTGGACCAGCTGTTGGTAAAATAAATCTCTAAAGGTGTATCTTAATTTGGATACTTGTGTTACTGGCACACAACATTAAGTACACAACATATTTCCTTCCTACATGAATTTAGACTGATTGCATGTTCACCAATTAAAACCTGAGTTGTGAGTATGGCATTTGAAACCTTTGACTGCGATTGGATTGCTGCCTGCTGTCAGCATCTGATCACAGATTGTACAAACTTTCACCAAAAATCCAGAATCGAAACTGCAGAAAGTTAGAAACTGATGTCATTGAGCGAAGAAGAAAAATAGTGTTACTATTTTTATGACCGATTCTATGAACTCATTAGGGAAGTTTTTACAGATTTTCCCTCTAGACTTCACCGGAAGTCTTTTTGTAACCATAGATATCCATCCAATCCATCCATCCATTCATCTGAGAGGCAGGGTACACCCTGGACGCCAGTCTGTTGCAGGGCTTATTGCAACCTGGTACCCTTCATATGGCATGCAGATTAAGCCACTTCCATGCTGCTTTCATTTTTTTTGACCCATAAACGATATTTGATGCTGCTTATGACTGCTCTGAATAAAGCTGTCAGTGAAAGCCATTATTGACCTCAAATGGTACTTAGGGAAGTACTTGATTTGAGGCACAGGATGGACGCCTATTTAGCAATGACCAAGCCCTTCATGAGAGCTGTTTTATGTGGTGTATATTGTTTAAATTAAGTGTAGATGATGATTTGGTAACATATTACAGCTAGTCAAAGTTTGAACTTTGAAACAGCTGGTGCAACAGTTCCCTTTATTTTTAAGTGTGACTTGGCAGGACACTTAAAACTGTGCAACCATTTTTAATGGTCATGTTCTTAGTAAGCCTATATTTTACAACAATAATCTGAATGTATGCTCTATTTCATGTGCATTTTTATGCCTATTTTTGCTCATAAAGGTGTAGAATGGGGACTTCATTTCCCAGCAGCCAATGGCGAGTACCAGTCTCCCATTAATCTAAACTCCAGGGAGGCTCACTACGATCCGTCACTCCTGGATGTTGGATTGTCACCAAACTACGTGGTGTGTCGAGACTGCGAGGTGATCAATGATGGACACACTGTCCGTATTATTCTCAAGTCCAAGTCAGGTAACTACCAGCAGCCATGACATCATATCAGCAAACACAAATTGTTGACTAAACTGCTTTGAAACAGGATGCATGTATAGTTTTCGAGGTTTGGTAGGAGGTGATTAATGTATATTTTTCTCACAAGGGAAAACCAAAAAAGTTGCATCGCATCACAAATGACCCCTTTCTCTCACACCGACTATTATTCTGACCTATTTAGCCTTCTTCCTGTACGTGCTTGATCATAAACCCTCTGGTTTCCTGTGACAGTGGTTACTGGAGGTCCACTGCCAAGCGATCACGAGTATGAGCTTCACGAGGTTCGATTCCACTGGGGCAAAGAGAACCAAAGAGGATCGGAGCACACGGTCAACTTCAAGGCTTTCCCTATGGAGGTAAACCAAGGAGAAAAAAGAGAAAAAAGCAAGGCCATAACCACGAAGCACACCCCAAACACCAAAGAAATGCACTGATTTGTTTAGACTTCTTGTCTTCAGCTAACACTGTAGTTTGATGAGTCCTTGAAGACAAAATCTTTTTTTTCTTTGAAAAGTATCCGCTTTGATATCTGAATAGCATTGTTCCACAGTCATAATCACACATTCTGTGACTCCGTGTGTCTGTGAAATCTTTACGGTGCGTTCTCTGACAGTTCATCAAGAAACTGTACCACTCCATCCAAAAACATACATTTATATTTTCATTTTCTTTTTGTTTACAAACGTGTCAGCTGTTTCTACTTTGGTTTTTACTCCACGTTAGGTCAATCTCGTTTTTATCTTGTCATCTACAACAACTTTGCATTTCCCAAAACTGGACTCCATCTTCAAATACTAATGTTATAAATTCTGGTGAACTTTCTTAGATAACGTTCCTGCACAATATAATATCTGGCATTTTACTGGACCTCAAGGTAAATACCTAATAAATTCCTAATTATTAGGACACCAAAAATAAATGAATCTGACAACAAAACATTTGACTTGCTGGTCTACAAATGTCCCATTTTCCCATTTTTAGTGTTTGTTGGGCCGTAGTCAACAAGGGAAAATTGTGTGAAGACAGCTTGGCTTATTTGAAGACAGTGGTAAATACAGTTTACTGTGCCGATTGTACTGAGCTCAATCTATTGCAGATATTATTCTCAGTATAGCTCAGTGTCTCTTTCCATTCCTGTTTGTAGCAGCAGAACTACCCTTTTAAGATAGCTTATGTTTCCTTTTACAAAACACATTATCAGTTCTCAGTGCAGAAGGCTATTGATAATGAAACAGGCAGCTCAGAGATCACAAAGATATTATACATTAATGTTTTTTCCACTGTGTCTGTTATAATGAGACACATAGCATGGCAGCTGTAAGTCTTATCATGTATGTAACTTCAGTCTGGTCTTGTATTTACTGCTTTCAGGGTTGAAGCTTTGTACACGTCCCTTTGTTTATGTGAAAGCCTTTACAAAAAGCCTTCAGTCACCACAAGCTGATGGTTTCTCACTCACAACTTGTCCTCTCTACAGCAAATGCCGCTCAATCACAGATTGTAATGTGTTGTTTCTCTGTGTGCAGCTTCATCTGATTCACTGGAACAGCACTCTGTTTAACACACTGGAGGATGCTCTAGGGAAGAAGAATGGAGTACTTATCATAGCTCTTTTTGTGCAGGTAAGCATCCAGAGCCAGAAGGCTGGCAAAGTGACCTGATAAAGGATTGATTTACAATGTCTGTTTATTTATAGCCAAGAAACTATTTTCTATGTCAGTCAGAAACATCGTTAAAGTCAGTGTCTTTTCAGTCCTGGAAGTTAGGAGGTGGAGCATTCATGGTATGAAGTTGTTTTTCCTGCACATTCCACATACACTTGTTATTGTGAACTGGGAAATCTGGGGGCCCAATACTTTGAACTCTTTGTCAAGTGTTGTGTGTATTATCCTACTGAAAAAGA